CGTCTGGTTAGCAGGCAAGTGTCTTAGCCACTATGCTACCAGAGCTCTAAGTATACATACATGTGTATATATAGATGTAGGAAGTTCTGGAGGTGTAGTGAGTAAGGCATTTGGCCGCTAACCAGAACATCGGTGGTTCAAACCTACCAGCTTCTCTGCAGGAGGAAGATGAGGCAACTTACACCCATAAAGATGCCTTGGAAACCCAACGGGGTCACTATGAGTCAGAATGGACTTGATGGCAGCAGGTGTTTTGGTTTGGTATGTACATGTATGTGTATATATTTAACAGGAGTGGAAAAACCAAAAAAGGTAGAGGTAAGGTCACTGTGAACATGAGCTGATGTTATAATAACATGTCAGGAAAAGGATGTGGTAGTCTGTACCCTCAAAGATGTAAGCCTTGGAAATTCTATGGGGCAGTTTTATCCTGTCCTATGAGGTTCACTATGACTTGGAATTGACTCAATGGTAATAGGCTTTTGGTTTATTTTTCATAATAATGTGTACTCAAATACTTCCCTTACCACTAAAAGAGAAAACGCAGGGACTTCAATGTCAACTTCATTTCAGCACTTGGAATACCACATGTAGATTTTGGTGGAAAACTTAAAATAATTTTGTGAAACTAGAGGGTGTCAGGGGAAAGGAGCCCAGATGGAGAGGAATCCGTAAACTTGTCACACAAGAAACAGTTGAAAAAAATGGGTATGCCTATGATTTGTAGAGGAACTGGTTGGGGAAGAAACAGGCATAAAACATAAATAGATGTCAAGGTATCTGAAGATTACTAGAAAGGGATATTAGGCTTATTCTGCATGTTCCCATAAAGAAAGACAAGGTCAGAGGACAGAATGCATAGTGAGATAATTTCTAAAAAATATGAATACAAAATGAGATGGTAGATTTCTCTATGGAGATTTAAGAGGCTAAGTAAACACATAACAGGAAAACATAAAGTGAACTAACACATGAATACAGGTTGGGCCATATTAGTGGGGTAAACATTAGAATCATTTAGAATATGTACCCCTATAGATTTATATCTATTTATAGATTTGTGAATTGCTGTTAGCCTGCATATTAATATTAGTAAAGTTTCTATTTTCCTTTTTTAGATTAAAAATATAAACATACAAATAAGTTCTCAATTTTTCCTTGTATGCCAATGGATCATCTTATGTATCACCTATGTGCAAATATTCCATTTTTAAGATCAGTGGTCCAGAAAAACTTTAAAATCTCTTTAGAACTATGATTCAATTTACAGACATAGATTTTCAGAATTCAACTAATAGGTAAACTGATCCAAAATAATAATGGCAACTGATATTTATTAAAAATTTACTATTTACAAGGCAGTGCACCAGGAGCTTTGTTATTAAATAAAACTGAAGCTCAGAGAGATTTAATGGACTGTTCCATGATAGCAGAGCTGGTAATTAACAGAAGTAGGCTTTGAACTCAGGGCTATATTCAATAAATATTTACTCTACAGCAAAGGATGTTAGGTTTTACACAGAAAAGGCTATATATTAAAGTGATAAATTCTATTAAGTCTTAAATTTATTAAGTTGATTTGCTTATATTTTCTATTACAACCACTGAAATTTAACAATACTCTGGTACTTGGAGCAAAATACTGCCATCTCATTCCTAAGTTTCTTCATGGCAAAATAACAAAGGCTACTTGGACAGAGAAATCGGGGAACAAAGTTTACTCATCTGGGGCTACAAGGCAAGGAGAATTGGGAGATGGCAAAATATTCCCAATTAGCTAGTCTTTTTCTTTCCTTTAACTATGAATACAAAGTCTTCCTTCTTCCTCCTCTACAAAGGCAAAGTATTTGAGTGAAAACTTCTTTCTTTGTCCCTTCTAACACTTGGATTTTTATTACTTTGCCAAACAAAAATCTTACAATACAAAGTAGCTTTCACAGTTTTACTGATGACTATGGTTTAGTAACATTTTCAAACAGAAGGGAAAGAAAAACCAAGCTACAAACACATGCAATCTTTAGGAACTAGGTTGGAAATACACAACCTGTAGACTATGCATTTAGAGGATTCAAGTAACTTGGGAATTAGAGAAATCATTATATTCTTTGTAACAAAAATGAAGACAGTCAATAGCTATCTAGAGAACAATATATGCTAGGCCACAGAAACCCAGGAGACTTTGGGGTTTCCTGCTTCAGGTAGAAGGTAATAGTCTAACACAGAGGTCTTCAGGAGGAAGATGTGGTAACCAGCAACTAAAAAAAAAGACACTAACAGAAATTTGACTCCCATCTCCTTTTACTGATTCATAATCATCTCATGGTGCAGCAAGTCATCACCTAGTCACAGACATCACAAACAGGAGGCCCAGTATGAAAAACCCAGCAGAATGGATAAAAGATACAAAGAAGAAAAGTTTTAATTTACCAACATTTCGGGGAAGCTTTAATTGTTCATTAAAATTAGTCTTCTGGGAAGATGAGTAAGCTGTTTGCACATTACTTGGTAGAGATGGTGCCTGACAGAACTAATTCAGGTTCTTTAATTCACAATTTCCCTACATTTTCTACCTTCTGTACTTGGAGTATTAACAGAATTCCTAGAGGCTAATGCCAGCATGTTGTAGAGTGTCTCTTCAGCAGCCAGTGCCACAACAAAGAACTATAAATTCTCAGACTGAGCTGGATGCTTCTTTAGTTTGAACCTGGAAACACTTGGAGAGGAAAAGTTGCAGAAAGAATAGAAAGATGTAGAATGTTTCTACTGGGACCTAAAACCCTTCATTCTGGGGCTGGCAGGGTTAATCTGAAGGGGAAGGCTAGTCTCATCCTGCATACCCTGCCTCAGTGGGCTGGTGGGTGGGTTCCTGGGTTCCAGCACATCCATAATTTATGATCAAATGCCTGCGCCAAGCAATTAAAGCACAATTATTTCCTATGCTTCTCTGCTCCCCAACAAGGAGCAGGAAAAAATCCTCAAGACACAAAGTATAGCCCAGGCAGAGGCATATTCAATTGCTCAGGGCAGATAATCATCTGTATTTCCTCCTTCATCTTTTGCAAACCTTTATCTACCATCTAAACTCCCCATATTTAAGGCTGTTCACAATGAGGTCCTAGGGTGGTTCAAGTGTTCCCTTTCTCCATGGCTAAGCTCAAAAAAGAGACCAAAGCTTCAAGTGTTTTCTTAAGGTTTGTGTACAAATTATGAAAACCAAACTGTGAAAGCAGAGGAAAAGGGCAGGGAGTCCTGCAACTGGTCAATCACGAATCTGCAAACCAGAAGGCCCTAATGTGGATCAGGAGAAAACCACCTGAAAAAAAGAAAAAAAAAAAAAACCCTATTCACTGGTAGATTAACTAGCTGGATGACCTTGGGCAAATCACCAACCTCTCTGAGCCTCATCTCCAAAATGAGGTGCAGGATCGGATAGTCCTCTAAGAAATAATCGTTCCTGAGCCGTGAGAAATCTTTGGATCTTTTGATTACGTTACAGTAGGAAACGGAGAAGTTTCTAGAGTTGCAATTTTTCAACAAAAAAGGGAGGAAAAAGTGTCCGGCAAAAAAACAGCAGAGTAACTGGTTTTGGCCCACGTTAATGGCCTCTCAGACTAGAGAAAAAGAGACAGAAGGGTCAGAGGTTCAACCTCAGGGATGGAGGCAAAAGGCAACAGCTGAGACTGGAAACACGAAGAGTTGCTACAAAGGGTACGGGCCGGAGCGAACCACACGCCGTAGGGAGCTGGGGGTGCAGAAAAGCATACTCCAGGGAGGGGAGTGTGTAGGGCAAGGGACGTCCGCTCCGCCACGATATTCCTCAACTGGAAAAGGCGGGGTTGAAGAACAAGCTAGCGAAAGCGTTATGTCGACAGGTTTGGGGGTGAGGTGCCGGGGAAAATGGCTCTAGAGTGATGGCGAGCGGCGTGGAGGTACAGGGAACCAACGCCGGGCCTGCAGAGAGGGCGCGCGCGAGGTCCCCCGAGGCTCCAGCGGGGAAGTGGTGGCGCGGGGGGAGGGGCCCAAGCAGTGGGGGAGGGGAGATCGCGCGCTTCTCACAATAACAAATCGCAGCCCCATCAAACCCTCACCTCTAACTCACCGATACCCCACGATTCTGGATGCACTCACTCAGATGGAGGGTCCGTGCGGGCCCCAAGCGGCTGCGGCGTCGGCGGGTGGCGCGTCTGTCGCTCGCTCAGTCCCGGCGGCCCCGCTCCAGCGCGTCCCTCCTCCAGCCCCAGCACTAGCAGCGGCGCCTCCACTTCCGGTTCCCCTGCCACTCAGGCAAATGGCCTCCGGAAGTCCCACCCTCATCCTGCCCGGCCTCTGCTTGGCTCGTGGCTCTCCACTTTCACTGTCTGCGGGAGCTCTCAGCTTGAGCCTAGGTGTCCTGCCACGCCCCGCTAGGTTCCCTGCTTTGTTTCTGTCTTGCAGTGTTTTTGCGCGAAGTCTGCATCGCTTGGACGGGCCTTTATCTTTCCTCCAGCAGTATCCCTCAATCTTGCATTAATGTCCCTGCGGTGTGGAGATGGCATTCGGGAGAATGTAGCGCGTGACCTCACACTGACGCCATTGCCTTTTCACCCAGCGAACCTGGCTTTCTTCTCCACCCCATGGAATTAATCAGATTGCTGAAAAAGGGAGGGAAATAGGCCCCCAAGGTTAATGAGACAGTCTCTACATTTATGAGTGGGACTTGTCCTTCAGCTTGTTTTTCCATTACTGACAATGGATTTTTATGAATCCATCTAGATTCTTTAGCTGGTTTCCTTTGGGACTAAATACCAACATAAAGGGGGAAAATATAAAAACCATGATAAAAGGTCTATGAACTGATTGGAGTCCTCAAACAGGCTAGAGTCAACGTGATCAAATATAAACCTGGGACTTAAAGAATACTTATGCTACAAGAGCTATATATATGGGATGAAGGAGAATTGTTGAAATACCACCCACGTTAGCCTGAAATCAAGGACACTACTTGACAGTGGTGCTTCAGTGGTGGGATTTTCACCTTCTGTGCAGAACACTGGGTTTAAATTTCAATCAGTGTACCTCATGTACAGCCACCACCCATCTGTCTATAGACACTTGTGTGGTGCTGTGATGCTGAACAGGTTTCAGTGGTGCTTCCAGACTAAGAGACTAGAAAGAAAGACTTGGCAGTCCACTTCCAAAAATTCATCAGTGAAATCTCTCTGGATCACAACTGCCTGATCTGCAACTGATGACATAGAACTGGAAGTGTTTTGTTCCGTTGTGCTTGGGATTGCCAAAAGTTGGCGACTGACTGGATAGCAGGTAACAACGATAACATCTGTGTCACTCGACACTGTAATGAAGTTAGAAGATTTCAGAGGGCCTTGCATTTGAAACATGAAAAAAGGAAAGAAAATCTATATGGACTGAAAATGGAAGAAGTATGAGTTCAGTAAATTTCTGTGGGTGGAACACAAGGTCAGATGATTTACAAAAAAAAAAAAAAAAAACCCTTTCAGAGTTTTGTTTACTGTTAAAGCAACATTAACAAATGTTTCAACAGGAAAAAAAAATTCACTTATATTCCTTACAATTTAACACAGTCATTTTTGTTTGCCTCAATTTTAAAATCCTGGGGATTAAACTGAGATATTTTTAGAAACATAGTAAAGCACATATACCAAACTTTTTATTTGTAGACTGATAATTGTTAATTTTCATGTTCTTTTTTTTTTTTTTTAAAGTGTGTTGCTGTAGTCTCATTAAGAATGCATGAGTTTAAACATACATATCTGGTATGTTTTGATCTATTATCATTTTTAAGTTTATTGATAATCAGATTGTCCTTTCCTTTGGTCAGTGGGATCTTATTAAAATTGGCTCCTGAGTCATTTTGACATTACCAACCATTGATTTGCTTTCTACCACTTTAGTTTTATCTTTTCTACAATTTCACGTATATGGAATCATATAGTACGAATGTTTTTGTTTCTGGCTTCTTTTTGCTCAGTATGACATTTTTGAGATTCATCCATGTTGTTGTATATATCAGCAGTTCATTTTTCTTTCTTTTTTTTTTGCTGAGTAGTATTCCATTTTATGGATAGTCTACAATTTATCCATTCACCAGTTGATGAATGTGAAAAACAATTTCACTTATCCAACCAAAATCATTGCCATTGAGTTGATTCTGACTCATAGCAACCCTATGGGACAAAGTAGGAGAGCCCCATAGGGTTTCCAGATCTCTTATGGAGGTGGACTCCCTCATCTTTCTCCTATAGAGCAGCTGGTAGATTTGAACTGCTTTCCTTTTGGTTAGCAGCCTAATGCCTTAACCACTGCATTACCAGGGCTCCTTTATTTTACTTATATTCCTTACAAATTAAAGAATTTAAGATTGTTTCTAGTTTTGGCAATTATGACTAAAGCTGAGCTGGAAATTTATGTACAAAGATTGATGGACCACATAAAACATGGGCTCCTCTACTCCGAGACCAAAAAAGCTAGATGGTGCCTAGCTACCACTACCAACTGCTCTGATCGGGATCACAATAGAAAGTCCTAGACAGAGAGGGAGAAAAAAGTGTTGAACAAAATTCAAAAACCTTAGAAAGGATCAGACTTTTTGGTTTGGTCTGACAGAGACTAGTGGAAGACGTGAGACTGTTGCTCATAGACGCCCTTCAAGCCTGGAACTAAACCTACCCCCAGAAATCACCTGTTCTGGTTACCTAGTGCTGCTTTAACAAGAATATACCACCAATAGGATGGTCTTAACAAACAGGAGTTTATTCTCTTATAGTTTGGAGGCTTTAAGTTCAAGTTCAAAGTGCCAGGCTCTAGGGACTGGGCGAAAGCCTCTCAACCTCGGGGTCCAACTCTGCCTTCTGCTTCCGGCCCACTGGAGCTAGAGGCATTTCTTCACTCAGACAGCTGCTAGCTGCTGAGGCTGACAAACCCAAGGTTGACAAGCAAAAAGGCAGTCTCGATGTTATCAAACCACACAGCAGGCCATTAATTTAAGTCCATTGTAAGCCCAAGGTCGGCAGAGCATGGCAGGCTGCTGAACAACGACACAGCTACATGCAGGGTCCAAGCATGCCATAAGCTAGAGACTATCCCCAAGGCTTCTTATATACAGGAAGCAGACCACATCCCAAAGGCAAGCTACTCAGCTGTTCATGGTAGATCCTACAATGGAGTTGATTGCCAGTCTCATCACAGGGAATAACTACCACCAGCTGCCCAGCCACTCAGCCAGGCCCAGCCAAGTTGACATACAAATTTAACTACCACATCACCTTTCAGCCAAATAGTAAACCCACTGTCATCAAGTAGATTCTGACTCATAGCAACACTATAGGACAGAGGAGAACTATCGCATTCAGTTTCTAAGGGTGTAAATCTTTATAGAAGCAGACTGTGCCATCTTTCTCCTGCATAGTAGCTGGTGGGTTTGAACTGTTGACCTTTTGGTTAGCAGCCAAATGCTTTTGTGAATGCGCTACTAGAGCTCCTGCCAAACAACAGACAGGCCTGTAAAATGAACAGTAACATCAGGGAGGAATGTAATCCTCAGTACAATCAACCATACAAGATCAAAAGGGCAGCATTTGCCCAAAAACAAAGCCCAGAAGGCAGGAAAGAAGGACAAATGGAAACGGGAATCCAGGAAGGAAGCAGGGAAGAGTGCTGTTACATTGAGGGGATTGCAATCAATGACATGAAACAAAATGTATAAATTGTTGAATGGAAAACTAGTATACTCTGTAAACTTTCACCCCAAAATTTACCACCAAAAAAAAAAAAAAAAGAGGAAAGAAAGTTCATGCACAAGTCTGTGTGGGCATGTATTTTTATTTCTCTTGGGTAAATACTTAGGAATAGAATTGCTGAGCCATATGGGAGCTCTGGTGGTATAGTGCCTAAGGCATTTGACTGCTAACCAGAAGGCTGGCAGTTCAAACCCACCAACCACTCCCTCCGAAGGAAGATTGGGTAATCTACTTCAGTAGAGATACCACCTCAGAAGCCCAAGGAGGGGTCACTATGAGTCAGAAATCACTCCATGGCAGTGAGTTTGGTTTGTTTTGTTATGGTAAATGCATGTTTAACTTTACCAAAAGCTGCCCAATGGTTTCCAAAGTGATTTATCATTTTACGCTTCCAGTAGCAATATATGAGAGTTCTAGTTGCTCTACATCCTTGACAATTCTTGGTATTGTCAATTTTTAAAAATTTTTAGCCATTCTGTTGGGTATGGAGTGATAGCTAATTGTGGTTTTTATTTGCATTCCATTGATACTTAATATTAAGTATCTTTTTTTTTTTTTTTTTAATTGTGATTTGGGTGAAAATTATTAAGTATCTTTTATGTGCTTTTTGGCTGTTTGTATATATTCTTTTGTGAAATGCCTGTTCAACTCTTTTGCCTATTTTTGAAAATTAGGTTATCTTCTTTTTATTGACTTTTAAAAGTTCTCTATACATCTCGGACACAATTTCTTTGTCAAAAATATGTATTTCAAACATTTTTCTCCCTATTTGTGGCTTGTCTTTTAATTTCTTAATATTATCATTTGAAGAGCAAAAGTTTTTAACTTTGATAGTCTAATTTATCACGGGTTTGTTTTATTTTTTTTCATTTACAGCTGTGCTTTCTGTGTCCTAAGAAATATTAGCCTACTTTATGTTCTGCTCTTTCTTTTCCTAGAAGTTATATAATTTTAGTTTTTACATTTTGGTTTATTTTAAGGTAACTTTTGTGTATCATGGGAAGCAAAAGCTAAAGTTCATGTATTTTTTGTTTTTATATGTAGATGTCCCATTTTTCTATCACTATTTATTGAAAAGACTGTCTTTTCTCCATTTAATTATCTTGCCCCTTTGTTAAAATACAATCAACTATATATGTATGAATCTATTTCTGGATTCTGGATTCTCTTCTATTGATCTGCATGTCTATCCTTATGCCGATACCAAGTTGCCTTTATTAGTGTAGCTATATAGAAAATGTTGACAGGTAAGTCTTCCAACTATCTTTTATTTTTTAATAAAATGTCTTGCTATTCTAAATCCTTTGAGTTTTCAAATACATTTTTAGCATCAATTTGCCAATTCTTACAAAGAGACCTTTGGAAATTTTGATTGGGATTGTGTTGAATCTACAGATTAGTTTGGAGAGAATTAACATCTTAACAACATTGAGTCTTTTGATTCATAAGCAATTAAACCATTATTGTAGATCTTCTTTAATTTCTCTCAGC